TAGAATACGAAAACATTGGTGAATGCCACAAATTCTCCTAAATCACTCGTACGCACAATTTACAGTAAGAACAAATCTGTGCGTACGAACAGTTCTTGCATGAGGCCCATTGTTTGGACGTTCTGACAAAAAGCTACTTTTGACTGAGAAAATACTAATACTAATTTTTTATTTTTTATTTTTTTGCAGCCCCTGAAGAATTCTCTGGTCAGATAGTGTTACCTCTTCACCTCTGATTGCATCATTAGAAATGATGGTTGCCTCAGATCTGCATAATTCTGTATAAAATTGCTTTAAATGGACTTGAATTTTGTTTTTTTTAAACCAATGCAAAAAAAACCTGATAAAATGTTCCTGTGCAGTCTTTTTCATTCATTTACTGTGATTTAAAGCTAGGTGTAAAAATGTATTTTAAAGATAAGTCATGGTGAAGGTGTTTACTGTCACCTCATCCTCCATCTTTTCCTCTGCTTCCTCAGACGATGACGTGGACCTGGAGCAGCTGGTGAACGACATGAACTCGTCTGTGGAGAGCCTTCAGTCCACGCAGGAAGACACCGCGCTCCTCCTAAACAACGGCCACGTGCATGCTCCACACCACCATCACGGACATCCTGCGTACCTGGGTCAGAGCCAGGTTCACCGCCGCCACACCCCGGCCCCGCCCCTTTCTTCCCCCTCCAGGCTGAAGCAGTCCCAGCCGATGCACATCCAGGCTGTCAGGTAAACGATAACCTGTCTCCAACTGCTTTATATTCAGGGTGAAAACGGCTCAGAGTTACAGCAATTATGACTAAAATTTTATTTTTTTATACTAATTTGTGATTCAGAAATGTTTTGAATCATTTGCAGCCCTTCCTTCTCTTCTGCCTTTTCCTCACCATCAGATAAGATTGCTCACCTTTAACAGAAATACTCACTGCGTGCTAAAAGATGCTTTTATTTTTATTCAACCTTTATTTAAATGGACAAATCTCACTGAGATCAGATGTTTTTCAGTGGCCTGAAGGTAATTATGTTCATTGTAAAAATAATTTAAAAAGGCTAAAAACCTGAAAACCTTATTGTGCATCTGTATTTATGCTCTTTGTTGTTGCTACTTTTAAATTTATTTACTTGATTTTTACCCATTCTACAAGTTTAAACTGTCCTGATTTCTTTTAAAATGCTAACTCTAAACTGGATTGAGGTTTATGTTTTGGCAGTGTTAATAAAACCAGTGGCAGATTTAGGATTTTTTCCGAGTAAGAGACTATCAAGGGTCATGAAATCCATAAATGGGCCAAGTATTTGTTCAACATCTTTGCACACAAATCCCTGGTTTTGGTAAGGTGTATACATTTTAACTGCTCACACATGTTCAAACACTTGTAAGGTCATAAGATATGCTTGCACAGTAAATTTTCCTCACCAATTTTACATGCATTTTTTACTGAACATAGATAAAATACTCTCAAACACACAGCATGTGAGAAAAATCAGCCATCAGTTGTCAGTTGAAAGACTTTCTGCAGGATTGTTCAAATCTTCTTAAGAGTTTAATTCATGCTTTTTATTTGACTCATTGGCACCTCTAGTGTTTGAATTTGGAACTGCAGTTTGGGCTAAAGACAGATCAGAATCTGAATACTTTTTATTGATACCCGAGGGAAATTACAGGTGCAACAGCTACAACCGTTCAGATCAGAGAAATGTGAAAGAAAGAAATAAGCACACTAGAATAAAATAAATATAAACACCCAGGATTACAAAATAAGCACACTTATGTACACATAAGCAATGTACAATAAAAATAATAGAAATATTAAGAAAATGTGTGCAGCATGTAACGAGAGATGATGTTTGGTAAATTGCACAAGTTTGGTGAGTGTCGTGGATAAAATACAGTAAATTAAATATCAAATAAAGACTAAAAATAATAAAATGTACAGATGTATTAATGTAAATGTAAATGATTAGATGAGTGACAGGACAGTGATACTTCAAAGGGCCAATCAGATTTCAGCTGGGGACAGTGTCCCTGTGGCCCCACACCTGGAACTGCCCCTGATTAAAACATTTTTAAATGTTTTCAAATAAATCGTTTAATGGTGTTTAATAGTCATTGTCATGCTAATAACTACTTTCTCCTAAGTCCTAAATCACTGAGAGACAAAAGCAGACTATTGTTTTGCTGTATTTGTTGCCATTTATCAACTCCCAAACTTTCACAAGTAAACAGAAAACCACTCCACAGCATAATGCTGCCTCCACCGTGCTTCACTGTGGGATTGGTGTAATTGGGGGATGAAAAGAGTAACAAACAAAATGTTCTTTTATGTTTGTAATGTTTTCTGTTTTCTTAGTTTTTTTCCTTTAGAGAAATTATCTTTGCATACAAACGTGTTCAACTACTTTTTCACACTTGTGTTTAAAAATTCTAGAACTGTTTTGTTTCAGTATTAAAATAATTTGTCACAATGACAAGTCTAAAACAGCATGCAAACCTCATTATTTGAACTTTTGTATATTTACATCTGCAGCCTCTTTTATTTAGTGCAATAATAAAATCACCAGTCATTATATTTACCTTTTTATTTATTATGATGTGATTTGTCAGCTTTTATTTTCACATTCAGTCAAGTTTTAGAGCAACTTGTTTTTTTCCCCCTCTGGCCAATGGTCAGTCAGTATTAAAGCTGTGGTTTTAGTTCAAAAAGATCAGTCTTGTGTTCTGTGCTGAAACACTCAGAGTAGTGTACACTCTGAGGCCGTAACATTGTGTATCTGTCTCCCTCTGCAGGTGCTTAAAGGAAGAGCAACAGCTGCGTCCAGCCTCTCTGCCGGCCATCCCCAACCCATTCCCAGAGCTCTGCAGCCCAGCAGGGTCTCCTGTTCTCAGCCCCCTCCAGACCTCCGACAGCCATGCAAGTACACCCAGCACCACACATCGATTAAAATAATACAACCCCGATTACAATGAAGTCGGGACAGAATATGATGATTTGCATATCTTTTTCAACCTTTATTCTTTTGAAAACACTACAAAGAGAAGATATTTAATGTTTAAACAGATAATTACTCATTTTGATGTTGATGCCAGGTTCCAAAAAGCTGGGACAGGGGCAACAAAAGACTGGGAAAGTTGAGGAATGCTAAACACACACACACACACACACACACACACACACACACACACACACACACACACACACACACACACA